AACGAGCCGCATTGTAGATCATCGGTGATTTCTAAACCAAAATAAACTTTTAAATTTGATTCAATCTATTGTAGCTCGCAAATGAATACGAAAACAATACCTACCTCATAGATGAGAATCATCTTTTGCAGAATCCACTAAAGAGATCGCACGAGAATCACCAAAGCCGTCAGCAATATCAGTTTGACAAACGCAATCGAATCTAAAAAGGAAAAAAAATTATCGGAATTTTGCAAACAAATACTTACCGAACTTCTGGTAATTGCATTGACTCGTCTGGGAGGTTGTTCTGACCGTCTGACCGTGTTGATTGTAGTTGTTGTATTGACTTTCTTGCTTGTATTGATTCGCTTGCAGAGGACGAGCGTTGAGTAGACGGCGGGTCCCTGGATCTCGTTTTCTTTGCCACCAGCTCCGTACGAACACCTCTCGTTCTTGATGTCGACCTAAATAAAGAACCATAGTTCCACAAATCACGTCGTCAGTACACAATCACAAACCTCTCCAAGGATTTGCTTTCCATTCACAGTAATCACTCCAGGCGAGATCTTTCCTTTCTCATGACTGACAAATGCGGGTGACCAATCCTTCGTATCGGGTGATGCCGCTTCTGGGAATGGAATCCAGCCGTAGTCGAATCCACGCACAGCATCCGAGAGCTCGTAGAGAACCTGCTCAAGAAATTCAATCACCAAAAAGTACTGTTCCATACCTGAAGTGATCCGACATCCTCCTTGTGTTCGTTGCCTCCATGTGCGAAGTTGCAATCTTTCCTCCCTCGTGCCAAACGGGTCCCGTCACCGGCTCTCCACGTTGATACCATAGTGCCACGTGTTGTTCCGAGCTCTCACCGGGTAACGAGTCCAACGACTTGCCGAGTGCCTGAACAGAAACAATATTTAGATAAATCTTTTGATAAGATAAAGCTTATTCAAAATGTTCACCTTGACAAGTTTCTTGTTTGGCCACGGGTCGCCCATACGGAAATCGGCCCATTCGTTGAGCATGACACGAATGACTGGGCGTGGTGGTCCCTTGGAGCAGTTGGCGCATTCACAGTTGGGTGGTCCTCCCTTGAGCTCGCGTGGGATGACAAACATCGGCAAGGGATCACCGCCTTGACGTTGAATCACCTTTAAACATAAGGTTCGCAAGGAAACCGATACTTTGGTGGTTGGGAAGGGGCACTTTTATCCTGCCTTAGTTGAATCTAGTGTTTTGAGTGGTTGTATTGATACCTTTTATCTACCTATTCTAGGGTAATCAAATATGCGTATACTTTTAGAGCATTTATAACATATTTCAAGTTTCATATCGCCGATTTTATTCGATTTTCAAGTGTAAGCAGCTTTGAGGTAGGATTTGGTGGTTAAAGTACATGGGATCAGACTAGAATTACCAAAAACTTGCCAAAATCTAATGTTTTGAGTGATTGTATTGATACCTAAGTATCACCAATCTATTAAGCATATTTTATTACCCTAGAATAGATAAAAAGTATCAATACAACCACTCAAAACATTAGATCCAACTAAGCCAGGATAAAAGTGGCCCTTCCCAACCACCAAAGTACCGAAAAACCTTAAAACAATTAACCTTATTGTTGATCGAGAACCAAGCAATCTCGGTTTTGTTGTCGACATATGCAAGCACGGGTCCTTCCGGGCTGTTTGGCCAGAAGATCGGGAATGAGTCGCCACAGTGCACAAACTCACAGTCGGTCACATACTTGTGGAGACGATCCGCATACTTGATCCAGTTGTACCAGTAGCCGAGTTTGTTGTGATCGCCCTTGTATTGGAGAACCTAAAAGGAAACTTATCTTCAGAACAAAGGCAACAAAAGAGTGATAGAGACTGAAAGAAATTGCGAAAGACTAGATGAATACTAACACACTTCAGCGAATCCTGCTTTACGACCAGATACCTACTCGATATGACAAAATTGTCTGAATCGATCAACGTGTGAAAGCAACTATCAATTTTAAAGTCAATGGATAAATTTGAAAAATTGTTTGATCGGTAATACATAGCCTTGACACCTGATGATCACTGACACTAAAACCTAATTCAATGTTATTCTGAAATATGAAGTCAAACTTTAACAAATGAGCCATTCCAAATAGCTAGAATTTCAAATCTCGAACTTTGATCAAACAAGAATTAAACAAAAACATTTATTTTAACTTGAATAAAGCATAACCAAACAGAACATATGAAAAATAATCATCATTGCCTGACGTTGATGAGATGATAATTGGAAACGGGCAACTAAAAATGAAAAAAGTTGGTTGATTGTCGTGATGGAAGCTGCAATTTAGATTATCTAATCTCAAAATTTCAATAACTCTGAATACAAATCTTATTTAAAGCAACCTAAACGATTTATTTACCTTTCTATATTCTATACTTTTGTATTAGTAATCATAAAGGGTTGTAAGAAAGAATATGATAATAATGAAAGTCAATTATACAATGATAACTAGCTGTTACAATCAAAACAACTAACCTTAATCATAGAAGACATAACCTTCGCGTACAAGGGCGTCCGCCAAATGACTTGGAAGTTGAGGGTTTGCACATTCAACGTACAAATCCACTTCACATGCATTCCGATATCGCCGGGCCCGTGGAGGCTTTCCCTTAAAATTAGAGAAATTAAAACTAATTTCAGTTAGATTAAGGATCTATTGAAATATGATCATAATAACCTGAAGGATTACGCCTGGAATCAGGAGCGCCCAGGCTTTTTTTTTTCCTGTTCTTGTGTAACGACGCGGAGTATTAGCAGCTGGGTGAGCGAATCGCAAAATCTTGCCCGCAACAGTGATCTCAATATATCCTCGAGTCACATTCTTGTCAGTGAAATCCTCAAGAATGCTGTACCTTGGATTCATCGTGCGGCTGAAAATGAGTTTTATTCTACATAGTCAGAATAAGAAAAGCAAAAAAGAATTCCGATAAAATGAAGCAAAATACATGCAATTAAGTTGATATGGATAAATTCATGGAAGCCTTTATTCAATGTAACCCAAATATAACCAACATTTGTTCATCCGAATTCTCATGGTCCTGAACATTGGAATCGTTTTCATCCTCGACATCCTCATCAACTTCTGAGTCGTCAGGAGGTAGAACTAACTAAAATGAATCAATTAATGAGTTATTATAGTTGATTCTTGTAAACTAATAGTTAAGTCAAAGATTCTGAAAATCTAGAGAATTGAATAATTGACACAATAATCAACCTTCGTAAGGATATAATCGCGAACAAAAATCACCTGTTGGTAGTGTGCAAGATTTCCGACTTTGGTTATAAAATCACCAAACTTCATGACGTCGGTAAATTCAACGCATAGAGCCACAGAAGGAAGTCCAAACCAAGAGTCATCATCTTTAGCCTAAAGGTAAATAGATCAATAACATATACCCAATCTCTCCTTATCACAAAGTATTCGGTTTCATAGTTTTGATTTTATAAAAATTTAATCGAGCCCGAAATGAAAATGACCAACCTGTAACAACATTTCAGCCAATGTAATCTGGATCTTTCCAATTGTTTCCACCGAAAATTTGCGAAGGTCCCGATTATCCGGGTAACCAAAACGAAAAAGCTTGGTTCTATGACCCAGCTCCACATAATTTGGCGTCACTTCAAGTGAATCGAAGTCTTCGAAGAAACAGAGTTGAGTTTCCATGTTGCGCTAAATAAAATGAATATTAGAATGAGAAATCAAGATACTGAAAAAGAATCCACGAAAAGTCTAAACAAAAACATAATAAAAGTAGATGATTAAAGTGGACTGAAAATTAAAGGAAAGTTGGCGCAAATGAAAAATGCTTAATAAAAAGGAAGTTTTATCCCCACCACCATCTATTTTTTTCTAGTTTGTACTTGCTGTGACTTTTAGAAGGGAACAGATGAATCGATGTCCATTGATCGTGGAGGGAACAACAAGAGAAAGGTTTGTATTAGACAGATTTTTCGTGAAACTTTTTCGATTTAGAAAATGACTAATACGAATCTGGTGCTCCCTCGGATGATCCACTCGGGAATGGTCAACGATCTAAGCGGGTTTTCAATGCGGAGAAAATGAGGAAGAGCCGCAACGACAGCGAATCAATCGACTGTCGCCACGCCTTTTGTACTTCCACCCGTATTGACGACTGAGCTGCAGGGGCAAAAGCGATCGAGAAATGGACTTACACAAAAAGTTCTTCGATTGCTTTGTCTATTCGCATTTTAAATTCATCCATTGCCTACTTGTCTCTAATTCATTTTATATCATGTGATAAGAGTTTTTCAAAAAGAGGGTACTTGGAGATCCGGGGTCTTTCAATATCTGGGGGGTAAAATTTTAAGATCCGGGGTAAACTTTCAAAAACCAACCAAATGCCAATGTTTTTCTTGTTAATAGAACTTTGCCATCAACATACAAAACCATCAACACATAAAACTACCTCAAAAAATGGTTTTGAAGAAAAATGACCCGCCAACTAGGATATTATCAACATTTCTAATAATGACATAAAAATTTTGTAGAAGTTCGTTTTTGATCGAGTATCACCTCGAATCACGTAATCACCTCAATAAATTGAATATCTTTACATTTGAAGGGAATTTGCCACCAAATCACTTAAGCGGCTGAATATCTTTAAAAGGGGTCGGGATAACGTATATAAAATTTTACCCCCTGATCTTAAAATTTTACCCCCCGGATATTGAAAGACCCCCCTCGGATACTCCACAAGTACCCAAAAGAGCTACTCAACATGTGCCTTTTTGTTTCTTTGGAATGAGCTTTTGTGGGAAATAAATGATCTGCATTGGGAACGAAAAAGAGTGAAAGAAGGAAGATTTCAACTAGGTACTCGGTGTTAAAAACACAAAATCTGTATTAAAGATACGATATAAGTGCTTGACAGATTTTCGGATGGACTGGGAATCCAAGTCCATTCGTAAGTCTAAGCCTTGGATGAGATAAAGCTGTTTGATGCAAAGCTCTGTATATAATCGATTTATCTTACAAAAAAAGGTATTCAATTTTATGGCTGATTAGCTTTATTTTTTTGAAACATTTGCCAAAACTACGGTGGCAAATGTTTCACAAACTCGGGGGTGGGACAAATGCGACCTTTTTTTCGCTGGAAAAGGCCGTAGAGCTTCAAAAATTTTCTCATCCACGGGAACCGTATGCGTAGATTCCGAATTTTGACAAATCAGGCCTCGCTGACACGTCAAATTTGGGCTAAAACGCAAAAACTGCGGCATTCAAAAACGTTTTAACGTGCTCCTGCAACTGGCTTGACTATCAAGATCTCGATACGTTCTTATCGGAACTTACCGATATTATCTATATCGAGATCTCGATAAGCTTATCGATAATGGTAAAACTTTAGTCGATTCTCCGTCAAATCCTTTTAACTGATTAACTAGCTTATTTCGGGATAATTCGATGCGCTGAATACGACTGTCGATATCCCAAGCCTGGGTTTTACGGTTTTTAAAGATTTTGGGAAACTTCTCATCGAGATCTCAATATCGATAAGCTCTCAATAGTCAAGTCTACCCGCAAAAATCTTGTGAAATTATTGTTGGCGAGGGCAGTTTTCAAGCTGGTTTTTACTGCGCTGCCCCTAGTTCCTCGAGCTTTTGACTTGGTTATCGTTTTAAGTGGCCAAAAAAACGAAAAATTTAGCGGCCCTTTGACTAGTTAAGCACTTCTGTCTTTTGATACTCAAAAGCTGCTAGTTTATTCGTGAGGCTTTTGTTTGTGTTTCTTGTTATTGAAGAGTTAGCTAATTAGCTAATTTATTTTCTTTAGATGACCACGAAAAAGCCGCCAGCAAAGGAGGTGCCTGAGGTGGTCTACGATGATAAAGGCAAACCCTACAAGAAGGGCCGATTTCTTGGGAAGGGAGGATTTGCAAGATGCTACGAACTCTACGACAAACAACGCAACATCACATTTGCTGGAAAAATCGTCTCAAAGGATCTGCTCAAAGGAAGCAATCAAAAGGAAAAGGTAAAGTTTTGTTCGAGCTGTTAATGGCTTAAGGGAAATAGAATAGAGAGAACTTGATTCTAAATCCTTGTAGTCGAACCTTCATAGATTTCTGTGGTTGTGGTTCTACCTCTCTTGTTGGAGCGAATAATCGTTTTTAAAGTTTCCAATGGTCCTCTTTTTAGATGGCCCAAGAGATCACCATTCATCGTGACCTTTGTCATCCGCATGTTGTACGCTTGGACGGATACTTCGAAGACCCGGACAACATGTAAACCTCATTTGTGAAAGCGGATTCATCTTGTTTATTTTAGCTACATCTTGTTGGAACTCTGTCCAAGGCGTTCACTAATGGAATTGCACAAACGACGTGGAGCTCTCACGCCGCCAGAAGCCCGTTACATGACACTGCAAATAGCCGAAGGGATCGAGTACCTTCACGCGAGAGCCATCATTCATCGGGATCTCAAGCTCGGAAATGTCTTCTTGAATGATGAGATGATGGTAGGCGTGATTATTTATAGTTCTTTAGCAAGTTTTTTGGGTTAAAATCGGTGACTTTGGCTTGGCAACGACGATGGAAAAAGGAGACGACAGGAAGAAAACTTTATGCGGCACGCCGAACTACATTGCGCGTAAGTTATTTGAGTTAAAGTATACGTTTACACATAATATTCTTTTCCAATGATTTTTTTTTAGCTGAGGTTTTGGAGAAGACCGGTCATGCGTTTGAGGTGGATGTATGGGCTTTGGGTTGCATTCTCTACACTCTTCTCGTCGGCACACCACCATTCGAAACGAAGTCACTTCAAGAAACGTATCGACGCATCAAAAGCAATCAATATCGCATCCCATCTACCATCGGAAACACAGCTGCAAAGGTGATCCGGGAACTTCTAGCTGCAAATCCAGCTAGTCGACCAAAGATTGCAGAAGTGAAAAAGGTAACGATGTTTCTTAAATTTAGTAATACTTTTGTTTTAGTATGCCTATTTTGCCGAATACACACCAACACATCTACCCACATCTTGTCTCACGTTGCCTCCAAAGTTTTCAAAGGTTCGACTTGGCTAAATGTTTTTATTGTACTCTTTTAGACTATGGATGCTACTCCCAAGCGAGTTCCATCACCAAGCCGGGCTCTCACTTCACAAAAAGCAAACGTGGAACAATTCTACAAAGATGGGTCCAAAGATTCGGATCAACGTGATGTGAAACCGCAAATTGTACAGATGTCGAGCGATTGTTATGCACAGGAACTCTTCAATAAACTACGCGCAACTCTACTCAAGGGTGGAACACGGTATTTTTTTTATCACTTGCATTTAGTATCTGCTATTTAGCAACATTTCACCAATTGAAGATTTGGCTGAAGCACCGGAGTGTATGCCCGTCTTTTGGGTCAGCAAATGGGTGGACTACTCCGATAAGTATGGCATCGGATATCAGCTATGTGACAACTCGGTGGATTGTATATTTTAGTCATTTATGCATTATTTTCAGGTTGGCGTTCTCTACAATGACAATTCACGTTTGGTGCTCGATGCTGCTGGTCTCAACTTGCAATACGTTGAACGGGACAACTACGAGGAATACTTCATGATGAACAAGGACTTGGAGCGAATGAAACATTTGGAGAAGAAAACGACTCTACTCAAATTCTTCCGCGACTACATGAACCAACACCTCCTGAAAGCTGGAGAGAAATTTGCACCAAAGGTAAAGTTTGAACCACTTGTCTCTTATAAATAATGCTTTATTTTAGGAAGGTGATGAGCTGGCTCGTCTCCCATGTCTTCGCAGTTGGTTCCGCACTGGCTCAGCGATCGTTTTGCACCTCACAAATGGCACGCTACAGATCAATTTCTTCAACGATCACACCAAGCTCATCTTATGCCCACATCTTGGCGCCGTCACGTTTATTGATCGCGAGAAGAAGCTGCGCACCTTCAAATTGGAGTTACTTGAAACGTACGCATGATTTTTGAGACCTGGAAATTTTTATATTTAGACATGGATTCGATGTTGATTTGCGATCGCGTCTCAAATACGCCGAGGGAATGATCGAACGATTGATGGCAAAAACGAATGGGACCACCAAATCGGAAGTTTCAAGCACCAGCGGACAAGTGGCATGGTCAAGCGGAGTCAGTTCTCTCAAAGCGAAGCCTCAATCATCGCAAATCTGAACTTTAATATTTGCATGTATTGCAGTCTTTCTTAGTGTGTTCTTTCTGCCTTATCTCTTTTGATCGTCAGTTGTATGTTTTTGTGTTACTTTAGATTGGCATAGTATACTTGCTTTTTCGTAGGCGTTAGTCGACTTTTTGCAGATTTTGTCCCCAGGATTCGTTTGTCTGTATTCTTTCTAATTAAATTTGACTTGTCAAAAGTGACTACTGCCTGAATTGTCTTTGTGTTTTCTTAGTTTCAATCGGAATAAATTTGAATCAATGTCAAAGTGGCGTACAATAATCTACGAATTTTTAGCTGACTGGTACATGAACTTACGGTTTTTGCTGACTTTTTATTGCTATTTTAAAAGTTCTACTTTGAGATGCAAAGAATAGTGCCTTTGCGTTTTCCCAGTCTCACACGTTCAAAATGAAATCCTTGAGAAATATCGAAAAGACTCTGGGGGCACGGGCAAAACGTACGCTTTGCTTCAAATGACCTTTAAAAAGACGTGCTCTTTTTGTCTCTTGCGTAATTCATCATGGGTCGCGCTTTTTCTTATTTTACCTTACGCCAGAGAATTTTTACTAATAGGATTTTATTCCTTTTACTTTCAATGACTGCCATATCAAAAGAGTCGGAGTAGTTTACTAATAACCCAGCTTAAAAATTATATAAACGCTTTTCTGCCTTGTTTTTACCTTTTTTCTATTGTGTTCAGGTCTATCAGGCACAATTTTTTTTTGTTTCAGCAGCGATGAGCGATTTCGATGATTTTTACGGAGGTACCGGTGGCGAATCGTTGACGTTTGTTGATAGTGAAGCCGATGATATTCCTTGCATCTCACAGGTAATGAATTTTTCAAACATTTAACTGAATTGTATTATTTAGGACTCGGAATTTGACTTCAATACGCAATTCTATGCAAACTCACAAGGCAGCCAGCCGTTTCAAGGAACTCAACAAACGAATGACAACACCGATATTCAATTCAACGAGGAGGACGTACAACTCACAGAATTGCCCGATCATGCTTGCCGGTAAGCAAGCCTAAGTTGGTTATTGACTTTTTTTGTCGTTTAGCTACTGTGGCATTCACGGTCCAAAATGTGTTGGTCAATGCACACAGTGCCACCGTTGGTTTTGTAACGGAAAAGGAGCAACGAGTGGTTCGCATCTAGTCCATCATCTTGTTCGGAGTCAACACAAAGAAGTATGCAGTTTCGACATAAATTTTTTACGGGCTTTAGGTGTGCCTGCATAGAGATTCGTTGCTCGGAGAGACCCAATTGGAGTGCTATCAGGTACGGTTATGTTTTTAATTTATGCCCTGATTTGTTTTAGTGTGGCTCAAAAAACGTTTTCTCGCTGGGTTTTATCCCGGCTACTGCGGATGCTCTCGTTGTTATTTTGTGTAAGCACAGATGTTAATTTATGATAACATTTTTGAAATTTTAGGCCGCTCTCCATGTGCACAACAAGCTAAGGATAATGGATGGCAGGTATTATTAGATATATCGAAACGTTTTTTAAAAAATAATTTTTAGAACGAGGAATGGAAGCCGCTTATTCATGAGAGAGGCTTATTGAAATGGTTAATCGATGTACCTGATCAACAATTGCAACAACGGGCTACACAAGTTTCAGCAGCTCAAATTGCACGGTTTCTTTTCTTGCCTCTCACTTTATGTTCTTATTCAGATTGGAAGAGTTATGGAAAGATAAACCAAATGCAGGACTTGAAGATTTGGACCGTCCTGGATTTGGCGCTGACCCTGATCCTGTACAGTTGAGGTGCGTTGTAAAGTGCAATGCTTGTTATATCCTTTGTTTTCTAGGTACGAAGATGCTTATCATTATCGACGTATTTTTGGACCACTAGTGCAAGCAGAGGCAGATTTTGATCGCCGTATGAAAGAATCACAGACGCAATCAGTCGGACATGTTTGTTTCTTTCACAATTAATAAGATATTTTAATTGGCCTGTATTAGGAGATTAAAGCTGTATAAGATTGTCACTGATGAGCTCAATAAGTTTATTTTTTAGGTTCGCTGGGATGTCGGTCTCAAGAAAAAGCATCTTGCATTCTTTCATCTCCCTAAATTTCAAGAAGGAAGTATGTTTCTTTTTACATTAACGATCATTTCATAACTTTAGACATGAAATTGGTGATTGGTGACGAGCTCCGGTTGAAGCATTGCCTCACAGTTGACAAAGAATGGTGGTGCTGTGTTGGACAAGTGTTTAAAGTTCCCGACAGTAAGTAAAATGATTCAAAAACGAAAACGCTTATGTATTTCAGATCATTCGGATGAAATTGGTATCGAGATGCGAGCCGGTATTCAGGAAAAAATGCCAACTGACCCAAGAATTAACTTCACGTGTGAGGTTTGAAAAAATAAACTTTAAATAAATAGAACGTAAATTTAGGTTGTCTGGAATTCGATTTCTTTTGATCGAATGATGAGTGCCTTGTCAACTCTGGAGCGTGATGAGAAATCGGTCTCCCAATACATCTACCATAAATTGATGGGTCACGATATCGATGATATTCTCTTCAAGGTATTTAGGGAAAGTCTTTAATTAGATCTATTGTTTTAGGTCAAACCACCTCGGCGCTTGTCTGCTCCAGGTCTTCCCGAGTTGAATCACAGTAGGTTTTCTCGGGGGTTTCCACATAAATGGTGAAATTTTAGGTCAAAGCCATGCCGTGAAGGCCGTTTTGGAGAGACCGCTTTCGCTGATCCAAGGGCCACCTGGAACTGGAAAAGTGCTTGATGTTTGAAAAATTATTTACACTGTTGCTTTAGACTGTCACATCCGCAACGATCATTTATCATCTTGTAACCCAAGCAGCATCAGATCAGCCACAACAAGTGCTCGTTTGTGCCCCATCAAACATTGCTGTTGATCAATTGGCGGAAAGAATTCATCGCACTGGATTGAAGGTTGCGTTGAAGGCTATCTACTTTTCAACTAATATAAATATAGGTGATTCGCATGTGTGCAAAAAGTCGTGAAACTCTTGACAGTACCGTGGAAGCGCTCACACTACATAATCAACTTGTATCGTTGAAAGGAGCTGCTGAGTTGCAAAAATTGCATCAGCTAAAGGTAATGTTTAAGTGAAGTAACGAGTTTTATCATCAACTTTAGCAAGAGATGGGAGAACTTTCAGCACAAGATGAAGTTCGATACAGAAAGTTAAAGGATATCAAAGAACGTCAGCTCTTGCAGGTAGATAAACAAACAATCATTAATTATCAAAATGAATTAGGCAGCGGATGTGATTTGCTGTACTTGTTCCACTGCCGCTGATCCCCGTCTACAAGGATTGAAACTTAAATGTGTGTTGGTCGACGAGTCAACGCAAGGTAACATTCATTTGTGTTGAGTGTTGTATAAATACGTTGGTTCACTTGTAACTTCAGCAACTGAACCAGAAGTCTTGACGGCTATTGTTCGTGGAGTTCGCCAATTGATCCTCGTCGGAGATCATTGTCAACTGGGACCCGTTGTTCTTTGCAAGAAGGTTGATTAAACGTGATTAAACGGCATTAAAGGCACTTTTTAGGCTGCAATGGCTGGATTTTCGCAATCTCTCTTTGAACGTCTCGTACTACTTGGGAATCGACCCATTCGTTTACAAGTACCGTTCCTCCATATACCTACGTTAAATTTTTACTATTGTAGGTTCAATACCGAATGCACCCGTCTTTATCATCATTCCCAAGTAGTGTTTTTTATGAAGGATCGCTTCAAAATGGAGTCACTGAAGGTCTGAAAACGATTTAAATTATTTAGTCAATCTTTTAGATGAGCGCACAATGAGAGGTGTTGATTGGCAATGGCCTGTTCAGACGAAGCCAATGATGTTTTGGACTTGTTATGGACAAGTAAACCAATTCCTAAATAGCTAAACCAAATACCTACTTTAGGAAGAAATGGCAGCATCGGGAACTTCTTTTCTTAATCGCACGGAAGCGGCAAACGTTGAAAAGCTAGCAAGTCGCTTAGTTCGGTATGTCGGGATGTCAATTCATTCAACAGCGTGTCTTTAGTGGTGGAATGCGACCCGAACAAATTGGAATCATCACTCCATATGAGGGGCAGCGATCGTTTATCGTTCAATTGTAAGTTGTACATGCTTTTTCTTGTACACTGCACTATGTAAGTTGTACACGTTTTGGGTTGTCCTGTTCTTTTACAATCGATAAAATTCAGAATGCATAATCAAGGCTCGCTACCTTCAAAGATCTACGAGGAGATGGAAATTGCCAATGTTGATGCTTTTCAAGTATGATTTACTGTGATTTTTTGCTTCGCGCTTGATAAATACCGTTGTTCTATTTAGACTTTTATTTAGGGGCGAGAAAAGGATGTCATCATTGTCACATGTGTGCGCTCCAATGAAACTGGTGGCATCGGCTTTTTGAATGATCCACGTCGTAAGTTATTTTTTGAATGCGTGAATTTATGCAATGTAGGTTTGAATGTGGCCATCACCCGTGCAAAATACGGATTGGTTATTATCGGAAACGCGAAAGTTTTGGCGAGAGAACCGCTATGGAACGAATTGCTGAATCATTTTAAGGTTAGTAATATTGAGTCCACAAAAAAAATGGGTTTTAGGAGCGCAATCTGATTGTTGAAGGTGCTCTCAACAATCTGAAAACATCACTTGTACAGTTACCACGACCGAAACCTCAAACTGTAAATCCGGCATATCCCGTGAGTTTGCATATCCCTTTTGTTGACGCTAAACTCTTCCAGAGTGCCCGTTTTACTGCGATGAATCAGCGTCAGATGTACACATTACGAGAGTATAAAGGAGAAGTTAACAAAGGTACAATTTTCAAGCAAAATTGTGAACAGCCACTGTTTTAAGGTGCATTTCTTGATCCGGGAGCGACAGTTACAAAGAATACACTTCGATCCCTGCATGCTCAACTCCCCGTTCCACTACATATGGTGAACCTTGGAGGAAATACGGCCGCTTCTCAATCAAATGCAAACACCCCATATACCCGTAGGTTCTTTAAAAATTTTTTTAGACCTTGTGTTTAGGCGGCAAGAGCCGTGGCGTCAAAGGAAACGCCGCTTGGCCACCAGTTGGGCCATCTTCCGGACTTGTTTCTTCTGCGGCCTCTCTTACCGACACCTATGTTTCGCAAAATAGTCAGGATTTCTATGGTGTGTGGTTATTTATTACTCCTATTTTTGTTATAAGGTGATCAACCGTGGGCCTCGCAAGACACCTTGCAATCCCAATCACAACAGTGGCATCAAACACCTGGATATGGAAGAGACGGACAATCACAGATGGTAGCGCTTAAGTGTTTATTCGAAAAATGATTCCTTTAGGTGAGCCAAGACGATGCTGTTGGTGGCCTTTCACAACTTGGTCCACAAATTGGTCTTAGCCAGGACATTGAAAATGACATGGAAAAACTTCTTCTTTCACAAGGCCCCTGATTGATCTGTATGTTAAACATTTTGTCAATCTTCTTCTAAAAATTAATTCTAGAAACCCATTCTCCACTATTCTACATCGTTTTTTTGGACGTGGAAACATTTGGTCAGAATTTTCCTTTCCTTAAAAACCATGCATGTTTAGGAGGTATAAATCATCTCAGCTTTTCAATTGATTACGTCAGCCGACAAGTACGATGCCAACCGATTCGAATCTCTGAAAAGCGAGCTACGGAACGAAAAGTTATAGGTAAAATTAAAATAATCTTGCAAAGAGTAATCTTTTTACAGATCCTATTTGATGTGGCACCGATTGGGAAAGTGAACCACATAAAGGATATTCTTTTTGACTGTGATACTTTTTGGTTTGCTGTTTAATTGCTGTGGAATTTTTTATTAAACAGTCTCTTTCCCGATCTGCATCGCTTTTTTGAGAACTGTAGCGTAGTTGGCTTTTTTAACAATTTATTATCGCTATTGTATTGTTGTAGTTTAGCTTGCTAGTAGTTTATATATTAGTCTTGCCCGCCTTGTGTTCAACCAATTTCAGTTGTATTTTCTATTCCGGTGACCAATTATTTCGGTCTCATATATTTCATCTTCTTTTCCTCTCCCAATCACGTTTTAAGTACTCATTTAAAGTGTTAATGATAAAGTTTTTTCCAGGCCTTGGAAAATAAATCTTTGCAAATATTCAATTTATGAACTATCGGAACTTCAAGCCTAATGTATTATTGCAAATAACTGTTTCTCATTGATTACTCAAAAAATTTAGCAAGAAAACAATCATAAACTGATCTAGATTAGCTCGTGCAATGGGTAAAAAGAAGAATAACAGCAAGAAACACCAAAATCGATCGAAAAGCAACGGCAACGTACGAGATTTTTAAAGCCTCGAATACTAATTTGGCTTTAGCGCACCGATAACTATGTGCCAGTCGAGAAAACCAATGAGAAATATTGGAATTTCTATAAGGTAGGGTTTTTTTAAGTTATAAGAATAAGATCGGATGGACAATTAACCGGTGCTCATTCATGTGTTCGCTCTTTTAGGCTCAAGCTCTTTTTCCCGAAGATGAATGGGACTCGTTTGTGCAACATTTGCGAAGGGATCTCCCGTCATCATTCCGTGTTCAAGGATGTCACAAGTATTGGAAACGAATTAACTCGTTCTTCAACAAAATTTAGAGATCGAGAGCAATTGATTAAGGAGATGGAGACTCGCTTTTTTCAGAAGATTCGCGAATCAAGTGATGCTTCTGTTTTTGCTCCTGTGGTACGTTTTGCGAAATATTCTAGTCACGCAAAAAGGTAAAAAAAAGTGGTTAAAATAGTAGACCTAAAGCTACGTTAAGCACTTTTCTGCATTTACGAGATCAAAATATCATAACTACCAATGTTTAGGAACTTCCATGGTACCCAGGTGTCTATCAGACAAGGATGTCGCGGACCGAGGTCCGAAGCCATCCAATTCTTGCGGAATTACATAACTTCTTGGTGAGGACCCTTTTAGGTTCCGGTAATAACATACATTTAGGTAACTGAAGCCGAGCTTGGGTCTATTAGTCGACAGGAGACTGTGAGCATGATTCCTCCATTGTTGCTGAATCCATCAAAGGAGCATTTCGGCAAGTCTCCTAATAACTTAATAACTAGTGCTCATATTTACAGTGCTTGACATGTGTGCTGCGCCTGGAAGCAAGACGATGCAACTAATAGAGATCATGCATGAAGATGACTTGAATCCACGTGAGCTTTTGTGCATGTAGAAGGGCTTACCGATCTAATTTAGCTGGAATGATTGTTGCGAACGATGTTGATAAAAAGCGATGCTACATGCTTATTCATCAAACATTAAAACGGATGAAAAATGCGAATACGGTGGTGATCAATGAAGATGCCACAAGGCTTCCTGACATGGAACTGGTACCTTTTAGACTAGTACATTCATTCACCATTTAAACGAAAATTAATGGCTGAATACTTGTGTTTTAGGATGGCAAGGTGCTAAAATTCGATCGTGTTCTGTGCGATGTCATTTGCAGGTTTACAACAAACAAAGTAATTGTCTACATGTGCATTTTTAGTGGCGATGGAACTGTTCGCAAGAATCCGGATATTTGGGAGAAGTGGTCACCCCAAGAAGGTAGGGGAAAGTGTTACTACATAAATGGGTTTATTTTTAAGGAATTGGCCTCCACAGGCTACAGCTGAGTATTGCTCGCCGTGGTGTTGAACAGTTGGCTATTGGAGGACAACTGGTAAAGATTGCTTATAGACCTTACTGTTAGTACAGATCCTAGTAAAATATTTTAGGTCTACTCGACTTGTTCAATGAACCCCATCGAGGACGAGGCCGTTGTAGCACAACTTTTGCGAGAAGCCAACGGAGCTTTGAAACTCGTCGATGCTCATCCATTGCTGCCAAAACTTAAAGCTCTTCGGGGTGTCAACAATTGGAAGGTTATATATTATCAGTATCTCAAATCAATAAATTATAGGTGTTCACTCGTGACATGAAGTTAATCAACTCATTTGAAGAAGTGCCTGAAGAATTGAAGAGGCCATTCTGTAAATCAATGTTTCCACCGAGCGAAGAAGAGGCTAAAGAAATGCATCTTGACTATACGTAAGTTTCTAATCCAAAAGTGATGATATGGAGAATGCTTTTAGAATGCGTATCGTACCGCATTTACAAGATACTGGTGGCTTCTTTGTTGCCCTTCTTGAAAAAGTGGAGGAGTTCACATTTGTGCGAGAACGAGAAACGACAGCAAAGTAAGTTTACTCAATTGGTCGGAGCAAGTGGGAGCAACGATTTACCGTTAAAATCTGGTAATTGCCCCATGTTGTTCTGGCTAATTTATCTGGTAGAATAAAAATAATACAGTTATCATTTCAGAGGGGCCACATGGCGCAAGAAGCTTTACAAGGATGATCCATTCACATTCCTCAAAGAAAACGATGAGCGCTGGCACGATTTACAGTAATACAGCTTTATTTTTTTTGATAATGTGATGGTTTAGAAACCACTATGGCATATCGGATGACTTCCACTATCAAAATCTCTTCAATCGGATGCTTGAAGACCAAAATAGTCGGCAACTTTTCTACGCCAATGATGCTGTGAAGAATTTCTTGGTTTGACCAATCTTCCATCTAAGATTTTTGATTTTTAGAAATCGAATATGAAGAAAGTTTCCATTCAAAATGCTGGAATGCGAATGTTCGGAAGGAATGATAATAAGGTAAAATTAGCTAAAAATAAATTACCTAGTTCTTTTTAGGTTGAATCGGCCAAATTTCGAGTCTCTCAAGAAGGTATTAGGACGATTCTTTCATATATGTCAAAACAAGTCGTAAGTGTTTACCCACTTCTCACTAGTTTCTTTTATTTAGTTGAAAATTTCTGAAAAGGATATGCTGACAATTCTTCGGCACGAGGAAAGTCTGGTGCCACTTGAGTTACTCGACAGTGCCGAAGAGATGCGAAGTTTCGTCAGTGGAAGTCTTGTCGCTTATTTTAATAAAGAAGATCCAGTTTGCTGTTGGGTGGGTACTGCATAGAGTTTGCTCAAAAATTCCAAAACACTTTTTGCATGGCACATAATGCACATCTTGAGGTGACAAATCTTTGTAAACTTTAGTTAATTAGAATAAAGAACGCCATTTAGTTTGTTGTTAATGCTCACACTTTTCAGATTGGTCAAAAAACGTGTGCTCCATACATTTCAAAGGAAGAAAAGATCCATCTTCTGAGAATGTTGGGCGAAAACACGGAGGTTATCGAGAATTTGATGCGGAATAAACGCCGAGAAAAGGTTTTTTACCGTGAACTTTTACCTTTTTAAGTGAGTTTTAGGCGATAGCAGGGAGAAATGCGCAACAAAACACGGGGGAAGGAAATGATGAAGAACAGGAGAAGGTATGGGCTAATTTTGGAAGGCTTTAGGCAAAAAAACTTTAGAATTTCGATCAAGATGGAAATTTAGAGTAACGGGACTTCGAATGGGCACAAAATCGAGCCAGCGGCCGATGATACAAAAGATGAAGCTCCATCGCCCAAAAAAGTAAAAGTTGATCCATAATTTTGTCTCTTATTGTAGTTTTTATATTTACACTTCTTGTAAGCAGAAACTCAAATGACTTCAAATTCTCCCTTGTTATTGTTGGTTTTTTTCCAGTTGATTGTTGTTCTATGATTTGTTTGTTATTCAATAAATCTTTTTAAAGCACAATGGCTTTTATGCGCTGTTAAAATACTTGAAATCATACTTTTCGTGGGTTTCTTCGATTTTGGGCTGATTCAGATTTTGAAATGATTTTGGAGAAGTCACCGATCAAGAAATGAGTGCTCACTAACGCTTTAGTAAAATTGCATGGCCTTGAGTTTTTTTTATTTTCAACTACTAATGCTGAATGCCTAACTAACCTCTCATTTATGTTCACGCTTTGCCCTTTTAGATGTTTTTTTCTCGATGTTGTTGCACTGGTGAAAAAGAGGAGAATGAAGAAATTCTGGAGGTGGGAACACTTACCGTAGTATCTGCAAGATATTAATCGTAGTGTCGTAAAAAGACACTCCGTGGCATGGTCTTGTTCTTTTTCCAAGTATTTCTTTCTATCTCATAAAGCAAATTGTTTTCTATTACAGATATTACCAGAGACTTGCTACATTCACTAACATTTCATAGTCTCACCCAATGCACCGGTGTGTTTAGACTATCCAATCTCCCACTCAACCGGCACAAAAGTTCATCGCCTCCTGTTTCAAAGGCGTCAACGAGCCAGAAAAATCGCCAACACCGTCGGTTCGAGCATTGATGGCAGCCGGGCGACCCAGATATTACTCTTCGTCGGCTTCGGGCACGTACCAATATCTTTATCTCGTTTAAAACACAACCAAACTTCGCCGGTTCGGCTATAAAAGTGAGCTAGCTTGATGATGACTAACAGTAAAGTGCTTTAGGACATTTTCCTTGTTTTGCCAACGTCAATCTATCTTAATCATCCATGTTTTCACATAATGTGATTCTGACTGATCTGGTTTGGTCTGAGATGACTGGTCTAATAATGAAGAATTTTTGTAAAACTCACTGAAAGCCTTTTTGATCTTTAATTTCGCTTTTGTTTCACTGCTAAAACCCTTGGTTTGAGCACACTAAAACACTTTTTACTTGGGTGATGGTGAAAATATTGTTCCCCGTAAAGCTCGGTAAAATCTGAATCAGTCTAAAAATTTTGTAATTCACAAAAATTGTTGCTTTATTGTTCAGATATAACACTTCCTTCGCAAAAACCACCATCAATTCACCAGTCGATCGTGATGCGACGAGAGCTTTTGGGTTTCGGGCTAGCGAACGAGGGTCAGTTGGGGATTCGGCCGAATATCGATCATGGATGCGTTCGAATGCCCGAACATATTGGTGATTACAGTTGTTAGCTTTTTATTAAAAAAATCTAATTTATTTCTTATGGTATCTTTTCATTTAGTGGGTGTTCCTCAATGTGCAAACGAGGGTGCTTCTGTTAAACAGGTGGCTTGTGGCGAAAAACATACGATAATCTTGGCTGAGGATGGGAAAATGTGGTCGGTATTCGATATCGTTTTGGAGATTTGCAAAATGCAAAAGGCTCATTATAAACGTTTGATATTAGGTCAGTGGGGCACAACGGATTTGGGCAAATTGGACGAGGGCGAGTCGGCGAGGGAAGCTTGACAATATACCCAGTTGAATACTCGATTGGTAGTCCAATTATAGAGGTTTATTAACTATTTTTTAAGTCTTACATTGCTTAATTTCAAGGTTGCTTGTGGCCGAGAGCACAGTGTTTGCGTGACTGACGATGGTCGAGTTTTCTCCTGGGGAAATAATATATCAGGTCAACTCGGGCTCAACGATAAAGGAACTGTGGAGAAACCAAAGTTTGCGATTTTTGACATTTAAAGTCGAATTTTGTTTAGACGGGTCGAATTCAACACTCAAATTTGTCAAGTCGCTTGCGGTCCCGACCACACAATCTTTCTTGCACAAAGTAATTGTAATTTTTTTGTTGTTGACATTCATCTTTAGATGGAAATGTTTATGTTTGCGGCCTTCAATATGACGGTGCGACGATCCACAAACCCACTCAAATAACCGATCTAATTGGGGTTCCGATAGTTAGAAGTAGGTTAAGCTCTTACATTTGCAAAGAAAAGGGATATGAAGCCTGGATACCAAGGACAATCTATCTCATCTACTTTTTTTAGTTGCCGCCGGTGGAAGACATTGGGTGGCGCTTTCATCCAGCGGTTCCGTCTTCACTTGGGGTCAAAACGATTGCGGACAACTTGGCACTGGAGATCAGACAAGTAAGAGTTTCTTCCTTAATAAGTAAATCAAATGAGTGTTTAGGACGGGGCACGCCAGGTCTTTTACTAAACATCAGCAGTATGGGTGTCGTCGACGTTTCTTGCGGAGATGCACACACCGTTCTTTTAACAAAGTGCGTTTCTGTGTTCAATTCATAGAATCAAGCATAAGCATATGATTTAAACAAAATATTTTTGTACCAAAAGTGTTTATTCGCCAAATACTCGAAAAGATGGGGAAGTTTGCGGCGAGTGATGCTTAGGTAGAAAGGCAGAGCTCGGAAGTGGCGCATTTTGGTACTAAATAACAAAAATCAGAATACCCATTTGAGCGAAAATTTACATACCCGGTTGCTTTAGTTGCTGCTTTGCTTGTATTGCGAATAGGCAGCACTGCTCATTCCAAAGACCAGATGGGCACCAAGATTGGCGGCAGTGAACGCGACGAGGAGTGCCAATTGATAAGTGTATGTGGGCGCCTAAAATAGAAAATAGAAGTGATACCATGAAAAGCAAAGAAGTTAGGCAAAGTTAGACAAAACCTTACCGAAGTGGAGGTGACATTCTTGTAGATGTATTGAAGGGTGACGGCGGTGATTGCTCCGTAGAGAAGTGTGAGGACCAAATAGGGCAAGGTGAAGTATCCCGAAAGAAGTCCCAGCAAAAGCGTCACACCAACCGAAGTGCCCACCGATGCGCCCAATAGCATCTAAATAAAACATGTATTATTCTAGTGGAGTTGAAAGGTGCGGTGCAAGTGTTTTGCAAAATAAGAACCCTACGTTTTGAAGCCAAGGAATCATTTGAAAATAAAGAATCTACCTGACGATTGTGGCCGACCTTGTCGGCGGCGAATGGATAAGCAACAGCAGTAATTGCCAAGAGAACATCGGCCAATGGAGCACCCGAAAGATAGGAGTTCTAAAAGAAAAACTTGGTAAACAATTAAAGTAAATACAATGATACCTGAAGTAAAAGTCCGACGAGCAATCCTTCAACGAGTGCCGCGGCGAGAAGGTGGAAACGGATGACCATGTCGGTTGCCTTTGCAGCCAAATCCTATATTGAAGAAATTAGAGAATAACTAGCTTACAAACCTCTTGAATGGTCCACGCGGTGTACATGGGTACTGCCGCCAAAGCAAGGCCCAAAGCACCAAATCCACCAATAGCCAAAGAGAGAATTGGGGCAAAAACATAGGCTGACGCGTAGGAAGCAATGGTTGATGCCAACACGAGCACGGCACTCCACGAAAGGGTCTAAAGAGAATATGTTACCACAACAGAGAATATGCTAGAACAAACCTGGAGGATGGTTAGCGGTGGAGTAACCACTTCACCTAGTGCTTGCACGGTGTCCACGAAGTCCTTCTTGTACGGCTCGATGTTGGCTTGCGTCTGGCTGATGAGCTCCGGGGCTTGTTCCTAAAGAAAACGCAATGAGAAAGCCATAAACCTTAAAAATAACATGTACAAAAACAATACCTGAAGTTTGAGTGCCCGCTGTCGAAGGCCGTCCAATGTTTGTTCGAATTCGGCACGGTACTTGTGTGCGAGGCTGGTCACCGTGACGGGCAGATCCGATTGAGCTAAAAACAATTTAATGGATTAGTTGATAACGGCAACTTATAATTTAAAAGCCAAATACAAACGCTCCATGTTCAAAAAACGACCGGTTTTAAATCAAGTTTAACAAAAAAATGCGGAACGAATTTAATAAATAAAACTTAGAGGTTTGCAATAATGAAAGAAAGTAAGGCAAAACACAAAAAGTAAATAAAAGCAAATTTAATAAGAAAAACCCGTACACAATGCCTGCGTGGGAGCGGCGATAAGAGATGGCTGTGGGGCATCGGTCGATTGTTGCGATGGTTGCGTTGGTTGAGGAGCTTGTGCGTCGATGACTGCCATTGCGAGAAGTCGAGTCGATGAGAAAAAGGAATGATGATTCACCGTGGATTTCGTTTCCTTATAAATGACGGATAAATGCAAAATCACGAGGAATTAGATGTAAAAATGACTTCCGATGCTAGTTTATTTATGTAAAGGAAACTAGTCACGTTCTGTTGTGCAAGAATGCACGTTGTTAACTCTTAAAAGTATCTATTGATTTTAAAGTTTTTCTAATGTACCTTTTTTAGAGATGGGCAACTTTTCACGTTTGGGTCGAACTCGTTTGGGCAACTCGGTTGTGGGCAACGTTTATCTCTTCAGACAATGTCTTCTGTTCCTTGTGTGGTCGACGATTTGATGGGATCAAAAGTGACGAGAGTAGCTGCTGGAAGGTATCGTTTCAAAGTTGCTATAAAGTAGTCGTCATTTAAGAATCTTGAAACATTGAAACATTGAATTTTTCTGTGTAGATGTCATACGATTGCGGTTGTAAAAGGCCGCGTCTACACGTTTGGTCTCAACTCATCTGGGCAACTCGGGAATGGGACCTCGCAGAAGCAGGTATTGATTTTATCATGGAAAACAGTATGATTATCACATTTAGCTAACTCCTTCATCGCTAGAGAATTGTGACCAAGTTACGGCAATTTTTACTGGATGGGATCACACATTTATTGTGAGAACGGCCGGACTATTGGTTGTTTTGCTTGTCTAAACAAATTTTACATATTTACTTCAGGATCTTCACCCTGGACATTCAGCGATTCTCCGCTATCCAATGCTCTTGTCTAAAGCGCGAATTGCCGATTACCTTTCTCGGCGCGAAAAAATGGACCTTATTGGGTAAGGTTGATCAATTTTAGGATATTTTTTGTTTTAGTGATCTCGAAGTTGCCTTTTCGTCGCTTTCCCTTTTGAATGGCTCATTTTTATATGAGGATGAACGGCGATACAAAGTTAGTCTTAAGCTAACCTTTTTAAATGACAATTTTAAAGATTGACGAGAAAAATCACGGAGTCAACTTGGACGATGTAATGGATGCGATGAATTTACTTGGGCAAAGTTCGGACTCGAAACAATTTTCGGAATTGGTAAACTTTTAAAAATAAACGATTCTAATTTATGTTGTAGATCGTTGACGGTTGCAAAGAATCTTTCTTTGGCAAGGACTTTTATCCGAAAACTTTTATTTCCGATGAGTGTTTGAGAGGATTTCTAATTTTGCCATGGTATGCTATCTATAACAAAATTTCAATATCAGAATTAGGTTAAACTCCTTTGTATCGAATTTGAACAAAGATGTGATTGAGCGATTGCACATTCCTTTATCAAAAGCCTTCAAACAACTTCAACCAGCGCAACAGGATACACTTGGTTTCGTTCAATGTCACATGAAATTTACTGAAAATTTTAGAAAAGTGGTGGAAACTCGTGCCGGTGCGTCACTTTAATCGAATCGTCAGCGGACTTGTGGCCGCAGTTAGCAAATCGTTGGAAGTAAGAAAAAAAATAGATATTTGGTCACGCTTTTACTTTAGAGAAATCCGGACATTACGAGAAATTTGCCACTCCTTGAGGTGTTGACTCGGCTCAATAAATTGAACAGGTAAACTACAAGCCCCTTTAGCCTCTTTAGCAATAATGTTCGATATTTTAGTTCAATCAACAAAATTCCATTCGAGAGCTTTTACGTGGACATTCTTAGCGAAAAGGTTGACCTCAAGATGGATTATTGTCGATGGACGGCTTATAATCAACAAGTTGGAGAATAAAACGGCCATGTAATTTTTTTTTTAGGGTCGATCAGGCGAACATTTTTGGTCTGATTTCCCATTTATTCTTAATGGTCCGGCGAAGGGAGATCTTTTACATGTCGATGCGTCATTGAGGCAACAGGCATGGGTGCCTTAAAGGAATAAAAACATTGGCGCATTTAGGTGATGGTGAGCAATTCGTATGTGAACTTGTTTGGTCATCAGGTGCTCGTGCAAAATCCAATGTTCCACTATCGGGTACGCAGGAAACACATCGTTGAAGATACAGTCACAATTTTGCCACAAGGTTTACTAAATTTAGCATAAGATATTAGAGTTTGTTTAGTTCCACTGGAAACTCTTCAAAAACCACTCCGAGTCGAATTTGCCGGCGAAGAGGGGGAAGACGGTGGAGGAATTCGAAAAGAATACTTCATGCTTCTTTTTCAACAAATTTTACAACCCGAGTAAGTTTTACTGCTCCTACTTCTAATTCTAAAACATAAATTTTTCAATTTTAGGTATGGGATGTTCAACGAAGACTCTGAATCTCATCTTGTTTGGTTTAGTGGAAACACGTCGGAGTCGCATGAGTTTAAGATGGTATGGTTGATTTAAATCACACCTGTTTAATCATTTTATTTTTAGGTAGGAACCCTTACTGCTTTGGCCGTCTACAACAATGTACTTGTCGATTTCCCGTTTCCACTTGCCTTGTATAAAGTAAATATATATAAAAGTTACATCAACCTCTCTTTTTAGCTGTTATTAAAACAAAAAGTTGGTCTTGACGACTTTTGCGAGTTGCATCCAACCGAAGGCAAAGGATTACAGTCACTACTCGATTATGAAGGTAAACTTAAAAGCGGATGGCTTATTTTAAACAAGAATAGCTCTAAGATCATATCATTTTCATTTTGCATATTCAACTAAATTTTAAATTTCCAGAGGATAATATGGAAGACGTGTTCGATTTGATGTTCTCAATTACTCATTTGGTTTACGGACATCCCACCGAAATCGAATTGAAGCCAGGCGGAAAAGTTTACCTAATTCATAAAGCCATTCATAACGCTGCTAATTTAGGATATCCCAGTGAATCAACAAAATAAGCAAGAATATGTGGAAGTGGGTGAATTTTGCTCTATAAATTCCTAAGCCTATTATTGGAGTTATTAAATCGTTTAGTTGTACGTGAAATCTCGACTTGAGGGAGGTGTAAATGGAGAAATCGGGAAACAATTTGAATACTTTCGGCAAGGTTTCACGGCCGTCATGAAGTCACGGTAAGTGTATTTGGTTTTAATTGTTATCATTGCTCAATGTTAGGCTTGTCAACCTTTTTCAACCACGAGAATTGATGGAATTGGTGTCGGGAAGTGAGAATTATGATTGGACTGAATTCAGAGAGGTTTGCGCTGTGATAATCTGTTTGAGGCCAGACTTGACTTGTCTTATATTAGATTGGTTGCGACAATTTTACATTACTGATGCTTTAGATTGTTCAATACGATGGTGTCTATCATGCTTCGCACCCGGCAATTCTCGCTTTCTGGGAAGCTTTTCAAGAATTGAATCAAGAGGAAAGAAAGAAATTCCTTCAATTTTTGTCCGGAACCACAAGATTGCCAGTGAAAGGTAGGGTTTGAAATTTTGTATTTGTCATCTAAGCAATACTCGTTTTCATACAAGATTTCACAATTTCAGGCATGAAAGAACTGAAAGTCAAGTTTCAACCGAGTTCTCCCACCGCGCTTCCCGTTGCTCACACCTGTGCTAACATTCTGGACCTGCCAAATATCAACAACAAGACAGAAATGCTCAGGTAGGTGTTTGGTTTAATGAAAATTGTGAAATTATCTCCACTTCAAATTTCAGTAGAAAGAATACTTAAGGTTTTTTTCGTTTAAACATTCTCTTTTATTTTAGACGACTTCGAATCTCATTGGAACACACTTCCGGGTTCACACTTGTATAAAATTGAACATCTTAGCTAATTTTATTTATTGTAGATTGAAAAATACTGCCTATACTTTGTTTTTCAACGTTATATTACAATGATTTCAATTCTCGGTTCATTTTTGTGATAAACTAGTCAATCAGCTCTTTAATGTGTTCCTTACTATAACTTACTATAACTTTCATTTATATTCTTTACGTGTGACATTTCCGCTTATTATTTTATTTTATGGGTAATGCACTTTTTTGGATTCAAATGCTTTTAGTTAACTAATGCGAATAAATCGTGGTGTATAAAAGAATTGTCAGTGGGAAATACTTTTTTAAGGGTTTCAGGATCTTTTGCAGTTTCCTTTTGTTATCGATCAATTTAGCAATGACGCCATAATTTTGGAATGGTGTTCACTTTGCGCAGGATTTTAACAGACAAACATTTTAAGCTAGCTTTGCTTAGCGGTTAAAGTAGTATTTTATGTATTTTTGTGCCTTTACCTTTGTTTTTGTTTCTATTCTTCCCTGTCTTGATTAGTCTCGATTCAACTTTATAATAAAAATTTATGATTTAGAAATCTGCGTTTTCTAGGATTGACAGCGATTAGAGACAAAATTTCAGTCTAAAATATCGTAAAAATTTAATATTTTTCGATACTTCTGGGTTATACCCCTGCAGGCAGCAATTAAGGTTTTAAGCGCAAGAAAATCTTATCAATGCAAATTTTTGTCTATTCGTGCGAGGGGTAAAAGCACTGTTGATTCACCGCGGGAGTACAGTCCATAAGTGCCGATCGTTTCTATTTCATCCCCTCTAAAGAGCTCTTCTAGTTTTCAAAATCACTCCTAAACTCTTTAAATTCCAAGAGTTTTTGGATGATTTGTAGAGGGCTCTAGTTTAGAGAAAACTAATAAGGAAAAAAATGTAAAAACGATATCATATTAGGTTGATGCAAAAGTCTTTTTCATTTTTTTCGTACTTCTGTTAAAAAGTAACAAATTCACCAATTAATCTATAGTTTGCTCTATAAAAAAAGTGTTTTTTTGTTCAATTTGCATCTTTTTAAATGAATTTCGGTTCACTTTCAAGCAAATTCGAGAGTGAAAAACGCCTTTTTCGTAAAAATCTATAAAAAACTCTACGGAAAAATTGGCTGAATGAATTTCTCTGAAATTTTGGCGAAATATCAAACGTTTTTTTTCTCTATCTTTTATCTATTGACACGAAGATAGGTTTTCTTTAGCTAAGGTGTCTAAACCGCAACATCGAGTTAGCCCTTTTTGACTACCCGACTTCATACTCTCAAGAAAATCCAGGCATTAAATATTTTTAGACCCGTTTTAATGTTATTTTGCAGAAAAATAATTGGTTTTTCTAATGAAATCAACCGTAGTTTAATTCGTGCATTTGTTGGCTTGAAACGGCAGACGAAAAAAATGAAAAAGACTTTTGCATCAACCTAATAGATAAAGTCAAATATAGGACACTCACTTAAAGTTGAATCTAGAAGGAAATGAACTTGAAGTAAGCTTTTGCAAAGTGCCGATGGAAAAGCAAAAGTCTCATTTTTTTTTCTCCATCATTTTCACCATCGTTCTCAACAATCGATGATTTTATTAAGAATGACTTGTTTTGCCTAAGAAAAGCAATAAAAGTCAAAAAGATTCAACTCCCACATTTCCAGAAAGCTTATTTCAAGTTCTTCATGAAAAAGCCAGTATAGGTTAAATTTATGGCAGAATCTTGGACATTCACTTGGAAATGATCGAGTCATCAAAAATCTCAATGAAGTTACTCTCGGTTTTCGCCGTAAATTCGATATTTCCCTTTTCCACCACACTATACCATTCTTGAAATCGGAATCACTCACCGATCACAGAGCTCACAGAGCTTAGATCACATTTCTCAAGCCATTTGACGCAAAAAAAATGTCGATTTTCAGCAGATATCACTGATTTGAGGTTTCGTTTGTTCGATGATTCGATGTTTCGATTCAAATACGAAACCCGCGAAAAGAGAAGCTCTTTGAGAAAAAGGCACCAAAATATTCGATGAGTACTTTTTCGTGTTTGGGAATCGTCTGAATAAACGTGCGAGGGAATACACAAAACGAGAAAAGCTTTGAATATCGATGATCAATCGAAACAATTCCTTGATAGACGCCTTCTGGTTGGTTTGTAGAATGGATTTCCGGGCTTACTCTTGAGGATAATTATTTCGACAGCTTTTGTAGCAGTTGTTTTTAAGAAATCATTGGCAACACAAGCGAAAATCCATGCACACTTTTTGTGCCTTTTCAGAAATGATTAGTCAGGATGTAAAATCAAAAAGTCCGGCTGACTTTTAATAGTTTTAAAGCCTCGTGAATAAGAAGTTTGTGAAGAGATGAAATTTTAATCGATTTGGGGAAATCATTGAATGAATTGGATAGAGGGGGGATTTATAGGGAAATATAGCTTTCGTTTAAGTTTTTAAACAAAATATGCAGTAAGGTGGAATTTGCATTAACCTTTTTGCCAAAGCAGAGTTAAAGCAGAAATCGTTTCTATGTGAAATTTTAAAAACTGAGCGACGTAGACTTTGGTACTTTGGTCAGTGGGAGGGAATATTTAATTGTTTATTTGTAAAGCAATCGCACCTTTCTCTGTAGAAACAACTCTACCAAGCAGGAAAAATGCGTTGTTAGTTAATACGCGGTAGAGGTCAAGATACTTTTGATTTAATTGGTGGATCAGGCAGTCATGCCGTTGATCAAAGTCTAGAAAACCACCAGCATTAGTTTTAGTGCGACAAAGGACACTTCGTTTAAAGTCTTATAAAACTGTAAGATGATCCTGCTGATGGTTCCGCTTGAAGCGCATTTGCACTTTATTTAGAGTCAAGTATAAAAGCCACTTTTATTCACGAAATACAATAAACAGAATTAGTTTAAAAAAGGGCTATGCATCGAAAATAAATAACAAGAGCATTGAACATCTTGACCTATTGGCCACCACGAAGACGAAGAACGAGATGAAGGGTTGACTCCTTTTGAATGTTGTAATCGGACAAGGTGCGACCATCTTCGAGCTGTTTGCCTAAAAAAAGGAACATAATTGTCCAAACAAATTGTGAATGCATACCTGCGAAGATAAGACGCTGTTGATCTGGAGGAATTCCCTCTTTGTCTTGAATCTTTGCTTTCACGTTCTCAATTGTGTCGGAGGCTTCCACTTCCAAGGTGATCGTCTTTCCAGTCAAGGTCTTCACAAAGATTTGCATTCCTCCTCGAAGACGAAGCACAAGGTGAAGAGTTGATTCCTTCTGGATATTGTAGTCCGAAAGAGTTCGTCCGTCTTCCAATTGCTTGCCTAAACCGAAAATGTAAGAATTTTTATAGTAAGTATATCAAAACCAAATGTACGCCTATTCTTAGGTTTGTTCACAGCATGGTTTCTCCTAATAATCATGGTTCCGACGGAACTATAACAGGATAAGGAATATGCCGCACTAATCGGGCATCTTCAAGTAGCGGAAGTGCCACACAACCAGTCATTCTAGGATTCTGCAAAAGAGCACCAAATAAATTGGATTTCTTTCGTGTGCGCATAGGTAAAACCTATTGGAATCCATAATACATTATTACTAACCACTGACCAAAGCTGAAGTATCAATAATAGTACCTGCAAAGATAAGACGCTGTTGATCTGGTGGAATTCCCTCCTTGTCTTGAATCTTGGCCTTCACGTTCTCGATCGTATCCGAAGCCTCAACTTCCAAAGTGATTGTCTTGCCGGTCAAAGTTTTCACAAAGATTTGCATTCCTCCTCGAAGGCGAAGCACAAGATGGAGCGTGCTTTCCTTTTGGATGTTGTAGTCGGACAACGTACGCCCATCTTCAAGTTGTTTGCCTAAATAAATTGATGTAAAATTTGTTCAGATGTTTGATAACAAGAATAGAATCTAAAACAGTACCGGCAAAAATCAACCGCTGTTGATCTGGTGGGATTCCTTCCTTGTCTTGAATCTTGGCTTTGACATTTTCAATCGTATCCGAAGCCTCGACTTCCAAGGTGATCGTCTTTCCGGTGAGTGTCTTCACAAAGATTTGCATTCCTCCTCGAAGACGAAGCACAAGGTGAAGAGTCGATTCCTTTTGGATATTGTAATCGGAAAGTGTGCGGCCATCTTCGAGTTGTTTTCCTAAAAAGAATGACAATTATTAGCTCAACAACGCCCAAACAAATTGTACTAATAATAAGCCCATGACCAAATCCACAAAAATTCACCTGCGAAGATCAAACGTTGTTGGTCTGGTGGAATTCCTTCTTTGTCCTGGATCTTGGCCTTGACGTTCTCGATGGTGTCAGATGCTTCGACCTCCAAAGTGATAGTCTTTCCAGTGAGTGTCTTGACGAAGATTTGCATTCCACCGCGGAGACGAAGAACGAGATGAAGAGTAGATTCCTTCTGGATGTTGTAGTCAGACAAAGTGCGGCCATCTTCGAGCTGTTTTCCTAAAAAGAAAATGTAAAAACCTGGTAGTAAGTAGAAACTCAAAGTACAATTATGCTTAGGTTTGTCCACAGCATGGTTTCTCCTAATAATCATGGTTCCGACGGAACTATAACAGGATAAGGAATATGCCGCACCAATCGGGCATCTTCAAGTAGCGGAAGCGCCACACAATCAGTTATTCTAGGATTCTGCAAAAGAGCACCAAATAAATTGGATTTCTTTAGTGTGCGCATAGGTAAAACCTATTGGAATCCCTAATACATTATTAATAACCACTGACCAAAGCTGAAGTATCAGTAATAGTACCTGCGAAGATAAGACGCTGTTGATCTGGAGGAATTCCCTCTTTGTCTTGAATCTTTGCTTTCACGTTCTCAATTGTGTCGGAGGCTTCCACTTCCAAGGTGATCGTCTTTCCAGTCAAGGTCTTCACAAAGATTTGCATTCCTCCTCGAAGACGAAGCACAAGGTGAAGAGTTGATTCCTTCTGGATATTGTAGTCCGAAAGGGTTCGTCCGTCTTCCAATTGCTTGCCTAAACAGAAAATGTAAGAATTTTATAGCAAGTATATCAAACCCAAATGTACGCCTATTCTTAGGTTTGTTCACAGCATGGTTTCTCCTAGTAATCATGGTTCCGACGGAACTATAACAGGATAAGGAATATGCCGCAATAATCGGGCATCTTCAAGTAGCGGAAGCGCCACACAACCAGTCATTCTAGGATTCTGCAAAAGAGCACCAAATAAATTGGATTTCTTTAGTGTGCGCATAGGTAAAACCTATTGGAATCCATAATACATTATTACTAATCACTGGCCGAAGCTGAAGTATCAATAATAGTACCTGCAAAGATGAGACGCTGTTGATCTGGTGGAATTCCCTCCTTATCCTGAATTTTGGCCTTCACGTTTTCGATCGTATCCGAAGCCTCAACTTCCAACGTGATTGTCTTGCCGGTCAAAGTTTTCACAAAGATTTGCATGTTCTAAAATTGAACGTTATTCCAGTGTTAAAATCAAAGTAAAAGCGTGGAGTTAAGAAGTAAAGGGATAAGAGCTGGGGAAAGCTGAAAACTAAAGGGTTGACTGAGAAACTCTCGTTTATAGTGGTAAAATTTTCGAAAGTCGAATCAGAGTAAGGAAAAGTGGTGAAATGAATGAAGAAAGAGAAACGGCTGACTCGAATGTTCGTGAATGACTAAAATGGTGACAATTCGTAGACGCTTGGCGTGCAATCGATACCAGATGGGGAAAAGAAACAGGGAAATGGATACGGTGAATTGAGCAGAAAATAGCAATGACCGCTACCAGCGGCTGGAAAAGAATTGAAATGAAAATTTTGCGCGAAAGTTCACGACAATGAATTATTACTATAAAGATATCTACTATATATAACGAGTCTGTGCGCAGCCATTGGCAAAAAGGGGCGGGGCTTAGATTGCGTAGCAAACGTGGACCTCCTCCGCTTGTTCAGTTAATAAAGAGAAAGTTTAAAAAGGGCTCACTGCGTAGTTGTCCATTTTGATGGAAAATTCTAAGGAAATGTAAAAGTATTCAGCTGAAAACGGGGAAAATTTTTCCTATATTAATACGCAGAATTTTCATTTCTTTGGAAACAACTTTGAGATTTATCCAGCGCATTTTGGGGGGTAGGCTACTTTCCGCCATTTTATTTGCGCAACAGGGTCATTTGCGCACGTTTGCGCAACAAGGGTCATTTGCGCAACTTTTTTTTGCACAAAAAGGGTCATTTGCGCAACTTTATTTGCGCAACTGGGTCATTTGCGCAACTTTAACACTGTATTAAGCACTCGAATTTTTAATCATTATTTTAATTTTTGAGCTTTTTTTTATTGTTTTTTTATTTTCTTCTATTTTTTATGAAATCTTCCAATTTTTTGCACAATCTTCCAATATTTATCTAAATTAGTCCTTTCTAAGAGCTAATAACCATTAGTAAAGTATTTTATCGCTTTAACAAAAAAGTGCAACCGATAACAATGAAAGTTAGGACAACAATAGCAATGAAATTTAGGACAACAATAAAAATCAAATTTTTTTAATATAAGTCAAAAGCTGAGAAAGATGTTGCACAAAATCGCAACCGGGCAAGCGACCATTAGAAATAGCAGTAAAACGTTGCTTTTGTCGAGCCAATACAGTTTTCTTCCGTGTGTAGTTTTGTCCAACAGTGAGATTGATAGCCGATGAAAGCTTGAAACGGTTGATTATTTGCGTCATTTCTTCGTAAAGTCTGACCGCAGTATACGATGGATGCGGATTCTTGGGAAAATGCGGAAAATTAGTTAACAATGGTTTTTAAGAATAAACAAAACCGTACTAGAATTTTAAACAACAAAAAAAAACGCCAAAAACTCCCTTAAAAAAAACGTCCCTTAAAAACGTCAAAAAAGTTGCGCAAATGACCCTGTTGCGCAAAAAAAGTTGCGCAAATGACCCTGTTGCGCAAATAAAAAGTTGCGCAAACGTACTTGCGCAAATGGCCCTGTTGCGCAAATAAAATGGCGGAAAGTAGCCTACCCCCATTTTGGAAGTAAATCCGCTGTTTATAATGGAAAATATATATTATTCTAAAACATTTAGAACAATAGTTTCAGATTATAGCACAGGTAACAATAGCTATTACCTGTTTGTTTTTTATATTTCTTGCTTTCTTGATCATTTTATTCACAATCCAATTTTTTTTTTCAGGTGCCAATGTCTCATCGAACGGTGTCTCCAATGTCGACGGATAGCCATAGACGGGAGTTTTTCTGGGGTCAAGTCGATGACGCGCTCATGTCGGAAGGTGATCAATTGTTGCTAACTGGTGAGTTTGTTTTGTGATTAGCCATTTAATTATTAAACTTTAGTAACCTATTTGACAATACTACATTTTTTGCATTTATATAAACTTAAATTGGTACTTTGTAGGTGGGGGGCACCTATATTTTTGATTTTTTCACGTTTCTTTCACTTCAGCGCCTAGAAGGGTAATTTCCAACGTGTCGAAATGGCGGTTTTTCAGTTGAAAACCTATGCTAAAACTGTCAAATTTGTGCTCAGCGCCCTGAAGCCTAGAAAGCTCCTAGAAAAATTAAAAAAATCAAAAATATAGGATCAATCCACGAAGTACCTTGAAATTTAGCCACCAGAGTTCTTGCTACCGCTTTTCACAACGGATTTTTAAAGAATACCCCAGAAGAGTTCGAGAATATAACGATGGTCAGTTTGTATTCATTTTCATGTAGCCAATTTAAATTTAGAAGTGCGCATGTATAGCCGACAGATTACGAGAGGGCGTCGCAAAAACACTGCAGCCGACGGGGTCGCAAAATGGTTGAGACTTGAAAGAAAATCCATTCATGTAAGTGTTTAGCTTTTAATCCGGTGATTCGTCAACTTACGCACGAGCAAAATGCCTACGAGTTGATGTGTGTGATGCTCGAATACGAGACTCTCGCCAAAAGGGTAAGTTTTACATCGGTTTACTTTAGGCTTTGCATTTTTAGGATGATTCAGTACTTGGACAGCTTTTGGCGGAAAATTCCGATTTTAAGATGCTTAGTGTAAGTTCTTTGTTTTCGTAAACTTTATCATTAAATCTTAGATTCTTTTGGAATGGTCGGAACGGTGTGGACATCGATTTTTGAGCGGTTTCTCGAAACACGTTTTTGACGCGCAACATTTCAAGGATGTTTTTTGTCTCCGGTAATTGTCAAGCGATTTTCTTTATACATATACGTCGAATTTTCTAGGCGGGAAGCAACAAATCTATTGAGAAGCGATATGCGATTTGAAAATGACAAGGAACTAGGGGTAATTTAGATTCTTTCTTTGTAAACAGTTTTCTTACAGATAACTGCCGATTCCACTGCTTGCCAAGAAGATGCGCCATATGTTGATCGCTTCTATAAGACACTATTCTCTTTAGTGAGATGTGGACGCTTGGATGAGGCGCGTAAATTGAATAGCCTTAAAGTTGATCCAAAGTTTTTGTATATAAAAAATGGTGATCTAAATTTCGGGTACTTATATGCATTATGGAACCAGATAATGCAGGATGAACAGGATTAGCCAGATAAAAGTATTAAAGTTGGTATTAGTCGTAACATTTTAGGCCGATCAACTATGTGATCAAGTCGGCGAATCGACGTGGGGTGGCCTTTTAACATCACGCATGGTCAATCGTAATCCCGATTATACACCAACCGACATTAAACGGGCAAATTTGATGGTTTGTATGAGGGAGTTTCCCTAGTAACTAAAGTTTTAGTGGCAAAATCGACGAAAACACTTCAAGCAGTATTTGACCAATGTCTGGGATCAGGTAGAATAAAATTTTTATTTTAAAAACGGCCAATCTAGTTCGAAACAGCAAAAGTGCCGCGGGCTGAGACTTGTTTGTTTGCAACGCTAATTGGACGAACGCATCCCTTGATTGATTTTGCTTCAACAATTGAAGATAAAATTTGGTGCGTATTTAGATCTAAGTTTAGCATCAGCAATTTTTAGGTGCGTTTCAAATGCGGCTGTGGAATACATGTTGGATAGGAGAATGGGATTGAGTGTTAATGATGCAACTTCTACAGAAGAGTTGCCGACCACCATTGAACAACTCGAGGAAATGATCAAACTGAAGGTTTTGGTTGTGGATCCATTGATGTTTTTCATTTTCTAATTTAGAAAGACCCATCTCCCTATATGCACGTTTACTTTTATGTGCTGAAGAATCAAATATCGGAATGTGTCACGTTTATGGCTAATTGGTAAGCAATTACAAATTGGTTTTGCATTGTTATAATTAGGCTCGAGCAACAGGGAGATCGGGTCGCCGATCACATTGTACGTTTCATGGCCAATCTTTTGATCATTTGGAAGCAACAAAGTGTTCCACATAACGTAAGAATTGCTTTTTTTTTTACAAAATGATCACCAACTGCGATTTTAGATTACATTTGCCGATCAAATTCTGAAAGCTTTTGTTGTCAAATTGGGAAAGATCAATATGCCAACTTTAATGCCCTTCTACTTGTCTTTTTACTCTGATTCAAAAGCGATGCTTCAACAATTGATGTCAGCCATGGATGGTCTGGCTTTCATTTGAAAATCAAATTTTTACTCCTTCTCAGGTATAAACGATGAAACGGAAAAGGCTGAATTTCTGGAAAATGCGCACGAATCGGGGATTTCAATTTCAGAGCTGTTGCTGAACTACGCTTTTTCGAAAATTGACGATCTTCGCAAGAAGGAAAAGGATGAAATCACGGCAATTATTTGGTTCAAGGATAATTGTTACTGCTTTTCAGCAAGCCGAATACAATAATACGATCAATGCCTGGAAATGGATTCTTCTGAGTGGTGATGAAACGATTACCGAAGCTCTTCATAGCACCAATGCTCTGATTCGAGTACTGTTAAGTAAGTTGTTTTCTTTTAATTATTTTTAAAAATCTTTTAGAATGCGATCAAGAGGATTTGGCAGTATTGGTCCTAGAAATTGTGCTAAGCGCTGGAGATGGAATTCCATTGGGTGATCGAGTGGAACATCGAGGAATTCATGGACCAGCTATTAAACAAGCTATAGAAGAGTACAGAAATCATGCCATGTACCTGGTCGGTTTTCTTTGTAACCAGCTTCCTAATTAAAGTTTTTTCAGGCTAGCGTAAAACTGTGGTTAGATTGGAATGTTGAGCGAAATCGAGTCCTTCAATCCGATGCAGCTATCAAATTTCAAGTATTGTATCAAGCTTGTATCAGAGAATGTTATTGTTTTAGGATGCTGCCCAAGATGCCACAATACGCATGGGAATCACGATAAATAGACTGACCGAGATGAGACGAAAGGACTGTGAACTTTTGAGGGAAAGTGTGCGGCTTGAATCGATTCAACAGGTTATTCAATCAGTTCATTCAATCAGTGTAATTTGAATGTTTTAGGAAGTTGTCAGAGTATCGTTCGACTTTCTGCAGGAAAAGGGGTGGAGAGATGTGCAATCAGTTGAAGTCGAACATGAACTACTCGCAAAAGAACAAGTAAAAACAACCTTTGAATTCGTTTCATGCAAGTATTTAGCAAATTCGACCCGATGAATTGGCTGAGCTCCGAGCGATGTACTATGCCTCAACAGCAATTCTACTTTGTTCTGCTTTCGAGGCATGTATAGTTTTTAAAAAGTCTTATAAACAAGCTTTTAGTTAATTTCTGAAGTGAATGGATCCATCGAGTTGGCCAAACTACTCATCGATGAATCGCTTAATATGCATGCGGTTTGTTTAAATTTTTCCTATTTCACCAATTTATTTTTGTAGGATATCAAGAAGGAAACGTTGAGGAGTCTACTGAAGAAATTGCAACGATTGGCGGGAATGGCTTTAACGACAGAATAAAGGATTATTTGAATGGTTAAAGTATGTGTTTAGATTTAATTTCATTAATTTTTGATCTCCGCGTTATTGTTGTTACTTTGTGAATAAAAAGGGCTTAAATTATTGAAGTCAGATAAATTTCACTCTGAATCGAGGGTCTTCACAACAAATTTAGGTGTCCATGAAAACACAAAATTGGAGATTATGCCCAAACACAAACTTTTACTATCAAAGTTTGTTTTGGTGAACAAATCTCTTTCCAATTACATTTGCCCTTTTTGCCGAAAATAATTCCGCATCCCCATCGGCAATCGTTTTAGATTGAAAAGGTGCACTTGCCCGCTTTGTTCTTGGATAAAACTACAGGAATATCAAAATTGTACTTTTGTTTCTTTCATTTGATCGTTAGAAACCATTTTTATTCATTGTCTTCGAAATTCTCCGGGAACCGTTTTTCCGAGATCAATTCGGTGGCTTGTTATCAAGGGTCATAAAATTTCCCAATCCGCTTTTACCACCCCTTTTTTTCTCTCTGCATTTTTCGACAACCCTTTCTGAAGATGTTTTTAGACATTTGAAATGATTTGTGAGAAGAATAAGAACTCAAATTTACAAAGATATAAAAAAAAGACAGAGACAAGATTACGGTAGTCTATATAGACTGAGTTATCCGTAATCCAAATAAACTAAAATAATCAGAAACGATCAGAAATCAGAAACGATCAGAAAACGGTCAACTCTTTTAACAAGTCCCTTCGAAAATCCGAAACAGACTCCATCTCAAATTCTAACTTTCGAAATCCTAGCATAAATATTTTCGATTTACGGAGATCAATTTCCATTTTGGGTACACAGCTTCTTATCACCAAATTTTGCCTCCAATTGTTTAGACTTTTTGCGGATGGCACCACATAGTACCGCTTACCCTCCCCAGCATATTTTCTTTTTTTTTTTTTGCCTTTTCTTTCAAAAATCTTATCATTCATTACCCGTTATCGAGTCTAATTCATATCATTTCCCTCATTC